TAGCGCCCACACCAGTGGCAGGGATGGATAGCAGCCCTCAGCTGTCTTTCCCACAGTATGATCCTATCTTTGGAGTGAAGAACTGGGTCATCATATAGTCAGGGGTGTCACAAGAAAGTGCCATGCTGGGGATAAAAGAAAAGCCATGGAAAAGTAGAGCTCCCCTAACCTCACCTTCACTTGTTATTTCCTCTGAATGTTCCCAATCCAAGCCACCATAACATCAGGAAACAACTTTTAAAGGTGTTTAGATGTCTAAATGCAAGCATAGGTGCTGAAGAAGTAATAAAATGCTTATGTATCTAAAAGCCAGCAATTTCACTAATTTCTCATCAGCTAAAAATTATTGCACAGGCAGTACTGGAATCCAAACAGGTATGTTGATGTGCAGCTTTCAGCACCTGTATTCCACCGTAGTTTGCTCTTGCAGTCAACACTGGAAGCAAAGCATACTGCAGAGACCCAGAGGATGGAAGGATACTTGGTTCAGCCACAGCCCTGCACCCCGCTGAATGACCTGTGCCCTGCACATCCTCTCTGCCTTTGAGATACATCCCTTGTGTGCACACACATCCAGGAAAATACTCTTAAAGTGCAGATGTGCCTGGACTTTTGTGATTAACCAGGAGCACCTGGAGAAAAACTGCATATTAATAGAATTTTAATAGAATGTCACAGGAGGGACACAATTTTTTCCCAGAATAAGAATTCACACATACAAAAATAAAAAAGATGACTGATAGATGCCAAATACTCACAAGGAAAGGAAGAGGAAAGAGCAAGCTTACTACTCTAGACTCAAAGTTGCATCCTGGGTCATCCAGTCCAAATCTCTGATAACTTGGAAAAATATTACAGAAGTTTTCATTCCTACACTCGAAGTCCAAATGGCTTTTTGCAGGAGGCTAATAGAAAACCTTATTCTCTGAGGATAAAACCTGTTCTCATATCCAACTAAATGTGTTATTTTCAAGTCACTATCAGTCCAAGGACTGGCTGAGTTATGGATATCCAGCTAACCTGTCTGTCAAGGTCGGTCCCAGCTTCCAACAGGTTTGCATTGCAACCAATCTTTTAGTCACAGTAAGGACCATAAGGTTTATTTCTATGCAATGCAGCAACAGCTATCACACTGAACCTCACTCTGCAGGAAAGAGACCTTTATCAAATATAAAAATCATATTCAAAGGACAAAGTATTTTAAATAAATAATTCTTAAAGCAGTAAAGCTTCAAAAATTACAATTTAAGCTTCCCCCCATGCTTTTAAAAATCACATGACTCAAGATTTACAAAATACTTAACCACGCAGGCCAAGTAAATACATTGTGCTTGTGAGTTTTTATTATTTCTATCAGCATTTGTAGTAGCTATGGATTTGAAAACCATTCCTCCTGCCTTATTCTGCTGAAGTAAAATGGTGTCTATTATCTGTAACAGCAAAAGGACTGATTGAGGATGAGAAAAGCCTATGTGAAAGTCAAGGAGTACCAAAGGAAGAAGAAGAGTAAAAGTGGGAGGAGGCAGGAGAATACGGAGTGGGCTCACTTAACATTAACCTCCATAGAGGTCAGATACACAGGTTCTTTTCAGTCCTCTTCTAAATCAGAAGACAACTGCTGAGCTATCAAACACATAATAATAAATATCTTGAAAATCTCTTCTGACCTAATTCCTCTCACTTGGATGTTCTGCATTTTTCTCATTAGCAAACAATTTGATGAGGTTAAATTTACATTGCTGGCAACTACTAGACTAGCACCAGCTCAGCTTGCAAACAGAGTTTAGCTTAACTTTATTTTCCTTATCAATGTCACAGAAACAGAATTGGTGGACTATAAAAATAAGGGCAATATTGCTGACTGTGAAAAAAATCCCACATGATTAAGAATAACTGGGGGTCAGATGCTGAAGACTTCTCAGCAGCTTCAGAAATTTCATAAACTAGGTATTGGTTGTTGGGGTTTTTTAAATAACATCTTTATTTCAAATAAAGGACTTGCTACATATTGCTGGGTAGAAGATGTTGCCTCAGGAATTGTAGAGAAACTCAACTTTAGCTGGTCTTAGAATAAAAGTTCTCTTATATTGCTAATTAGATTCAAATAGCTAAGGTTAAGTCTATTATGGAAGATGGAGAGACATTCTTTCCATTCCACATAAGCATGAAATTCTGTAACCGATTTTCAACTGTCTTTCATGCATTCTCATAAAAATGATAATCTTATCAATGACTATTTCATAGCTGAGGTACTATTTGCAAAAGCCCCAAAGCAAGAACCATGAAAGACAGAAGCTCTGATGATGCTTAAATCAGTGTCAAGGAAGACAATTTTGTGCCTGGATTTATTGTATCAATTCTGATACTGTGGTTAGAGTTCCATAGTTCTCAATGAATTTTGCAGCAAAAGCAAGGGTTCAGCTTCTTGACTTCATGTGATGGATAAAGGTTATCCTTCCCGAGATCCACTGAAAATTTACTAATACATCTTTTTGGTTCATTCAACTAAATAATTTTAAATTCATTCTTTTGAAGCACACATCAGTATCAGCTTTGTCACCCAAAAATACTCTACATACTCAAACAAGACTTTACTACTAGAAATTAAGATGCAGCTGAGCAAAGGTACTACTAATTTTTTAATTTGCTGTCCTACTTGGATACATACCAAGTTAGGTCAACAACTCTGTTTGAAAGTGGGATCATACACAACAAAGTGCTCTCTTCTGTTTCACATTATATGTATTGTCATCAGTCTCAAACTACTGCAGCCTTGGCTACAGTGTCACTGCCAACCAGTGGTTTCTTTCCCACTAGTCTCCATCCTCTTTTCCCACTGGTTTTTTCCTTGCTGTTGCTTTTGGCTGCTGTAGTGATGGAGAGATTATATGATGGTCATCAGATGGTCAATTGACAAGCAAGCAATGCATTCCTTTTCTATGGAGAAAGAATGGTTTATGCATTGTGTCTTGAATTACTTATTTTATTGCTGATTAAGAGGATCTGCACAGAAGATTTCTTCCGTGTGAAGAGTTTTAGTATTATTGCACTTGATGATGTTTCCAGGGAACATTCAATTTCACATTTTTTTTTAATTCTTCTTTAGAGCAATTATCCAAATGTTAATATCTTTCACTGCTGTAGTTACTTTCGACTTTATTAAATTCTCTTGGCCAAACACCTACACAGGCTAGCAAATGGTAGAACAAGAATGAAGCATCTGCTTTTCTGTTTTTCCTGTTCACATTCTGTCAGTTAATTCCTGAAGCTGTTTGTGCCTCATTTAAGAAATGGGTAGAGTTCACCAGAAAGCAAATAAATCAATTACTGACTGTTCTCATCAGACATTAAAAGGCAGAAAAACATCCAAAATTTTCCTATTCTTTTGACTGGACAGAGATACCCATGGCAATTTTTTTTCAATGCTAACTTTTTCATAGTAACCTCTTACAAAACAAGGCCTTGGAGCTTAGCAACTGATCAGAAATGTGAGTCACAACATCATAAGAGGAACGTACCTCATTAGAGTCACAGCATGAATGGAGGACCTAACATACGAGGTAAGCAAGTTCAAGAAACACTAGAGCATAGTCAGGGAGAATTTATTTTGAGGATTTTCATGGGGGGCTAAATTGGTCCTATTCATAAAAAGAAAAAAAAAAAAGCACAAAAATTCTTTCCTTGTCCAACTGATAGAATCTCTTTCCAACACTAGCTGACTTGATCTAGGCCAAATACTGGCATGACCAAAGCTCCCTGTAAAACTGATTTATAACATAAGCCTTGTCACATAAATACTCAGGAAGAACCTGTTTTCCCAAATAGTAAGTGCTAATACCAGAAGGTGGAAAACAGACTAAATAAATACATTTGTCATTTACACCAAAGTTCACTGACACAGCTGTCACAAAAAAAACCAGTAAAATATAATGTACTCACTCAATGCAATTGGCTTTACAATCACTTTTTCTATAGTAGAGCTTAGATTAAAACATAATCTAGAAAGTTCACTGCTTTAATAACAGATTAGATAAATATTTGTCTTTAATAACAGAAGTAGTTTTGTAAAGATCCATGAAGAAAACCTTCCAAAGACAGGAGTGGATCAACAGGTGAAGGAATTGCAAAAAGAGACTCTCATTTATCTTCTTTCCCCTTCACCACTGTCCTTAATCTTTTCTTCTAACTCCTGTTCTCTGCTGCTTTTAAAAACTGCCTAATCATTCTAGTGAAATGATAGTGTTTCCATTCAATTCAAGAATTTTAAATGTGAATAGATGTGATTTTACTGCAGTCCTGTGCCCTCTTGTTCTTCAACTCATGTGCAAGTAAATGTACTCAAAAAAGGCTTTTTTCACAGGTACAGTGAGATGCAAGTGTGGTCTATGTACCTATCTTCATCATTTTATTTCATTTTGCAGCTAATAGACTATTTTGTATAGCAGAAAATCTGTCATTATGTGCAATTTCTTAAAGAAATATTCACTGAAATACATGGCTGCATAATTTTTACACATACTGGCAAGTATGTACTTTGTAACCCATAGCTGACCCTGATGCAGGTATACAAATATGGTTTTATTCCCATAAGTATGGTGGTGTGTGAGGAGAAAGATGTTCAGTTTTGAGGAAAACAGCACTATTTTGCAAGTCCTATTCTGTTAAAATTAGGTAAATGGGGTCTGTAAAGTCAGATCATAATGTTTAGCAATTTTGATACTCCATTTGTGATGAAGTAGACATTCCCCTTTCTATATGCAGTAGTACAACAACCTGGAGGCAATCACAGCCAGGGCTTTCAGGGAAAACATTTTTTTTAAAAAGCAACTTAACAGTGCAGAAATCAGAAAATTCAGAATGATGAATCTTGGATCTTATTCAATCATGCACCAAAAAACAACTACCACACAACTCACTTGAGTTTAAAGATATGTCACAGAAACTGAACTGAAAAGCAGAACTTGGCAAATTAATCTCAGGAATATTGGTTTATTACCTACCGTAGTTTCTGGTTATACTGCTTGACTTTTTCTAGTGAGGCTGCATTAATCTGAGCTTGAAATTCTTCCACTGAGACACTGTCTCTGTAATAGTATCCTTCCATGCTCTCCAATGCTGTTAAAAGGCAAAGGAGAATAGAAAATAGAAAGATCAGTATTAAAATATTTAGCAATCATCTTCTTTGCGGTTTTGTTCACACAGAAGTGAATTACTTTTTAACCTTGAGGCTCTGACCCCACTGTGGCTTGCTGAGCTGTTTCCATATGTCATCAAATTCATACAGATTGCTCTTTAAGATTTCATTTACAAGAAAAATTATATTTCTTGCCCTGTGGAAAATACAGGAGAGCACTAATTTGAGTTCTGTTACTGTAATTGAAGTATTCCTGCCCTGTGAATGTAAATGTGGATTTTAATTCTGACATATCCTGGAAGAAAACAGTAGAATGAGCTGGGGTAGAGGAAATAAAGGATTATGTAACAGCTACTTTCACAAAGGGAAACCTAACAACCTCTTATGAAGCCTTTGAGAGATCAGAGCATCTGAACATTTAGTTATTCCCACTGATAATATGAATACCTTCCTCTAGATGAAGTAAAGCAAACTTCTCTGGATCCCTGAAAAATCCCTAGAAATTCTTTTTCAGGGTTCAGGTAAGCTTCTGTCATCAAATACTTGTCTGTGTCCACCTTTGTTGTATTCACTTCACCAAAGCAAGGATGAATATTGCTACAAGAACTCAGGAACTAAACAAAGACTTCAATTAAAGGGAGGATTTTATCTTCTTCCCATACCAGCATTGCACAGAATTTAAAAGGAGGGGAAAAAAAAATGAACGCACTACTATTCCATTTTGGGGTGTTCTTCCTACCAACAGTTTAAAAAAAAAAAGATAGAAAAGGGAAGCATTTACCCAACCCCTCTACTTTAGGGGCTTAGCAGGGGAGGGGTTAATATTTTCTTAAGCAAGTCATATCAAGTGTTTGAAAGATTCTCAAGCAAATTTGGACATGAAAAATAAAGATCTTCACATTAAGAGGTCAACCTTATTATAACATAAACCTCTTGGTGAAATAAGATTTTTTCACAGAGAACCATTAAAGACTTTACAATTAGGAATATTGCTACTTTAGTAATCTATACACATTCAAAGAATTCATCACCCTATCAGAAAATTCAAGCAATAAGCAGAGTTTTGATGGAAATATGCTGCCATCTCACAGCTTCAGCTGCACACAGAATATTAATTCTGCTTGTACTGCTTAATATGACCAGTTAATAAATAATTCATTCATTGTGAAAGAACATGCAAATTGCACTCCCCTTCTCTGCTTTCAGAGTTTGTAATTCTACTTCTGTATGAAAAATATTAAATTTCAAGTCAGACTTGCTTCTTAACTTCCTTGATGCTAAGTCACACCAGAAAGCTCACGCAAAAATATCATCTAAACTCCATTTACCACAGCATGTTAGTATAAACAGAACTGATAATCCCTACTGCTTATTTTACTGGCATGAAGTTGGTTTTAGCCAATTAGATCACCCAGCCAGGAAACTCAGTCATCTGTCGGGACTGGCTGGAGCACACAGTTCTGCCTCTGCAGGGGCCATGCTCACGGTGCAGGCAGGGACTCCCATGCTGTGTGCTGTGGCTCTCCCCTCTCTGAAGAGTTTAAAATTTTTCTACCCAATATATTTGAAAATTCTTTTGTAAGCAAGCTTTCTTTACAAATATGTCTTCTATGGTATTCTTCAATCCAAGCTAGGATACGATGGTCTGAATGCATAGACAACTGAATGGGAAAGCAACTTGGAAGAATGGGCACACTCAAAGGGTAGTAACTAATGGGACATGGTCTACCTAGGGACCCATTATAGGTAGAGTAGCATAGGAATCTATATTGGTCAATGTCTTTATCACTGACCTGGAAGAGGTAAGTCAAGTTTACAGCTAATACCAAATTGGGAGAAGCAGTGGATATACTCAAATGCAGGGCCACATAAAGAGTGTCCTAGATAGGCTGGAGGAATCCAGGAGGAACCTTGTGAAACTGAACAAGGACAAATGGCAAGTTCCGCATCTGGAAAGGTGCGCAATGGTACATGCTGGCATGACAACAGGCAGCTGACATAAATTGAAACAAGAGCTCTTTCAACTTGATAGAAAGAAAAACCTTTTTCACCATTAGTGTAGTCAAGTAGAGTAAAAGGCTACCCAAGTAGTTGGGCAGATCCTTGGGTGTTTTCAAGATCCTACTTGTTAGACACCTGAGCAACCTGGCCTGATGTCACAGCTGACACTGCTACAAGCAGGAGGTTGGACTAGAGATCTCCTGAGGTCCCTTCCAATCTGAATTATTCTATAATTCTATGAAAAACTAAACAATTTTAAAAACCATACAAAAGCAAAAGACTAAGTAGCAATTTAAAATAAATTGAAATTTAGTTTTAAATACAAGCTTATTTATTACTGAGATCTTAATTCTAATACAGGAAATACAGAAATCTAAATGCCAATAGCAATATCTCAATATTCTCACCCCCAATCCTGCAAATCAGGATTCCTTAGACTGTATACATACTTAGGTATATGGCTGCACGAAACTGTTTTTCGCAAATGGAGGGATACATAATATAGCTTGGGTAAATATTAAAAAGCTTTTAAAATATCTACAGTGCCAATCCTGCAAACACGTAGACCTGTAATTTTAGGGATCTACTCATTAATGAGGTAAAAACTCCTCAGAATAATGATTTCAACACTAGGATAAAAATTCTTAGCCAGGACTTCTTAATCTTAGAGTCGAATGGACTGTTTTAGAGGGAGATCCTTGAAAACTAAAGAACTTTGATAAGACAGAGAAAGAAGAAATCTTCTATACTACTGAAAATTCATAAGGAGATGTAAACGTTAGAATGGATCCTTGCCCTTATCCTTTAGCTGATTGCAAAGATGCTTATCCTAAGAATCAAATATTTTGGGCTTCTGGAAACTGAAAGGGAAAAAAATTTGCAAAATAAATCCTACAGCACACTGAATCTTCTCCCCAGTCTAAAAAACATTAGTATTTCTAGGAACTCAGGTGAACCGAGGTATTTTCTGCTCTCTTTCATGTGCCTTTTTGTCTGCACTACTGAAATGTGTCCATTGCTCAGTGTTCTTATTTTCCCCTATGATGGAAATCAGTATGTTCAAAAGAAATCCACCGAAGTCTTTATTAGTTTGTTTTAAAATTAGACTACAGGTATCTTATTTTTTAGAAACTGAGTGTTTTAACTTTATAGAAAGTTCAGTTATTCATGCATTTGACTGTTTGCCATTTCCTTTTACAGCATCCTTATCTAACAGAAACCAAGCCCTTCATTTACATGCCTGACTTCTGCCTATTCCATATAGACCCTGGAAGCCTTTTCCAAGGTATGGCACACTTTCCTCTCCCTCTGAAATCAAAGGCAGCTCAAGGCAATCAGCAGCTCACATTCACCACTTCAGTGAAGCAAACTTCACGCTCCTGATGACTGTAATGACACTGCAGCTAATGCAGGCTGCCTGTAATTTATGAAGTCTGAACATCAGCGCCACCATTCCTCACCTTGTAATGTTTGCAGTGCAGTAACTACAAAAGCCTGAAAATGTTATTTAACTCTTCAAAACATTTGAAAGAGATGGAATTCTCAGGGGATAACAATTTCTTCCATAAATTTTAAGTCATAGGAAAAGATTGTGATAGCATTTGAACAGCAAAACACTTTTAAAAACAAGTTTCATGTTCTGACTATTGTATATAATGTCTACAAAGAACAAAACAATACTGATGAATGAAAATTCACTTTGCTGTTGGAGAATCATACAACAGGCATAAACTTAGAAACGTATACCCATGCCCCCATTTTTTATTACAAACCTCAGCATTTCTTAAATTCACATTTTAAATCCAAGTTCTCAATAAATGGCCACATTAAATACCATATTTAAAGATAAGCAATGCGCCCTTATGGTTACAAAGGATTTAAATCAGAGTGAATGAGTAGGGTTTTAAAGAGAGTTAATGATTATGTGAAAGAAGCAGAGCAGGGCGATTAAAACTCATGTTACCTTGTGAAAAAAGTACTGGGTGGATTTTAAATCCCCCTCCATTCTTCAGCCTTTGAGGAAGCTGTTCAAAATGGTAAGCATCAAGGTAGAAGTAAACCTTCAGTGTTTGCCGGCTTCCTTCTGCTTGGTATGTGATCGGTACATCTGAAAACACAGTCAGTGTTAGAATTTCATTGAAAGCAATAGCACATCCTTTTCCAGAAACTGTTGCACCCAAAATTCTCACAGTTAGATTTAAAAAAAAAATCACTGCAGACACAAACTTAATATATTCAGTATTTTACATTACACGTGGAGTTGCTGTGGTCACTTTTGGCCTATCACCAGGAGGTAGATAAATAGAAAAGCAGTGACTGTCATCTTTGTCAGCCTGTCAATGGCAGCAAAAATATCTAAGCAAATAATGTAGTTGGAGACATTCTACTCATGTTCCCCGTAAATCTGAAGAAACATAATCATAGAATGGTTTGGGTTGGTAGGACCTTAAAAATCATCTAGTTCCAACACCTCTGCCCTGGACGGGGACACCTTCCTCTGGACCAGGTTGCTCAAAGCCTCATACAGCTTGGCCTTGACTACTTCCAGGGATGGGGCACCCCCAGCTTCTCTGGGACAACCTGTTTCAGTGCCTCACCAGACTCGTAGTAAAGAATTTCTTCCTAACCTAAACCTGCCCTCTTTCAGTTTAAAGCTATTTCCCCTTGTCCTCTGACTATATGCCCTTGTAAAAAGTCCCTCTCCAGCTCTTGTAGGCTGCTTTAGGTACTGGAAAGCTGCTATAAGATCTCCCTAGAGCCTTCTCTTCTCCAGGCTGTCTTCGTAGGAGAGGTGCTCCAGCCTATCGACTGCACATCTATGTATGGCACACGGTTTGAAATGACTGGAGGGATACTTTTAGCCGCATTTCACATGCCTTTCTGAAGTGCACAATATCTGAGATCAATGTGATATAGAGAGTCAGATTCTCCTTAGATTCGTGTGGAATAGAACACAAGTAAATATACAGTAGGTATCAGCATATTCATTCAATTGCTATTAAAAATTAGGACTCAACTGAGAAAATAAATGTATTATGTTAGAATATATAAAACTGTAAGAGCACATCCCATAATACTTTTACAAGTCATAATACATCAATTGGTGCAGAGTTTGGGGCAACCAACAGTCATTTGGGAGTTATAGTGATTCCCCAACATATGTCATGTGTGTCATGTGTCAGATGATTAACATGCAATAAGCATTAGCAAAAGTTGATGAAAATTTTCTGTTTAGCTAAATCTCTCAGAGGAAGTCAGTTTACTTCAATTTAAGGGGTTTATATATTGTATTGTTTCCATGCATAAGTCTCCAAGCTGAAAGCAGTATCAATAAAATTCAGTGACTTGCATTAATATTATGTAGTTTTTACACGTAAGAATAAATCCTACTATACCTAAATGGTAAGGATTGCAAAGGAATAGAATATTTTTCACTGTTTTTAGTAATAAGAAGATCACTCCTTTTCTTTTATTGATGATACAGAATCACAAATGAAAAAAACCAAAACCACAACTCCACATATTTGCCGGTTTCTTGTCTTCTGTAACCACCGTCGCTGTGGTGGCAGCACATAAACCAAAAGGAAATCCTGAATTTATTACAGTCCTCAAACACACAAACTTTCCACTTACTAGCACAGACACCTCATTTGAAAGATATAGCAATACAAACAGCTCATGACATAGCTATAGGGTTATCTCCCCATCAGGAGGCCCTTATGTAACTCCATTTCCATGCTGTTACCTGGCTTGGCAGAGCTTCTTTTTAAAACACTCTGAACAGGGGTCTTACTTGAATCATACCAAAATAACTGTGGCCTTATGTAGCCTAATTTTAACTGACTACCAGCCCTGAGCTACTGAATTCTGTGGAGCAGAGGAAGCTTTGTGGAGTAGCTTTGTGTCTTCTGGTTTTAGTTACTTGCACAAGTTCTCTCATGTGTGGTCTCAATCCAGCAAAGGAATTGTTTTAGAATGGATTGATGTGAAGCAGACATGCTTTCCTCCTTCCCAGGGGAGTTATTAGACAGAAAAAAAAATGAGGGTTTTTTGCTCACTAAACAAAGTTCACTGCAGGAAAATATCTACTGGTTGAACAATATTAATAAAGGAATGGCTCAAAATAAGTAAATGATATAAACAGCAGACTGCAAACAGTCCCCTCCTGTGCGTTGGAAGACTTTTGGGAGGAAAGGTTCAGGACTCTGATCATTTGCAACAGCAGGTCTCAGGGAAAGCTTCTTACCCAATATAAAGCTATCCTAATGGTACTTGCCATCTCCTTTCAAGGAACTCTTCAAAGATCTACTTTATACTTCAGATGATAAAATGAGATGGGGTTTATGCTTCTCCATCTCATGTCAGTTTCATTTCCCTATTAAGACCTTCAAGCTATTTTTACACAGTTCTTCAATAACAACTGGGTCTTCCAGGGACTTTCCTGATGCAGTCACATACTCCCAATGGAAAACTCAGTTAAGCAAACAATTTTTCCCCCAAGGTTACTGACATTGCCAGATAACAATTCTGTATTGTCACTGACGATAGCTGTATTTCAGGACATCTAAGAATAATAGGAGAGCTACAGATTTACTTTTCTCCATAATTCCAAGTTATATAATATTCCCCGTGGGAGGTGATGTTCTAGGAAAGAAAAATGTTACAAAAACAGTAAAGCCCAGATATTAATTTTAATTACTCACTCGCAACTAGTGGTTCTGGCTCTGATTGTCTGAAGTAAAAAGTAACTTTTTCCAAGTCAAACAATGCAACCAATGTATCTTCTAGCATGGCTTGCTCATCAGCCTAAAAAAGGCAAAAGAAAAATTGAAAAGGTCATTTCAGCCAGATGTTTTCCCTACCAGAAATAATATAAGAGAGCAGGACATAAAAGTAACTACAGAATGTTGCACAACATTTCCTTGATGCAGTGTATAATCTACTTAACTCCTAGATAATGCAAATATCTTTGTTTCTGTTAGCTCTTTCCAAGGGCCTAGTCCAAGATTATAAAAATTAATGTCATCATTTCACATAGTAAATTAGTAGGCCATATATAGTTACCATTACTTCTCATGGGATTTAATCCAACAATTCTGTAATTATTCTGTAAGACACAAGATTTCAATACCTTGCCTTGGAACAAGGTCTAGCTTGTAAATTAATGGAGGGGAAATGTGAAAAACAAATTCTTCTTTTTAGCAATTTTCTTTTAAAAATGACATAATTTTAGGATTTCACTTATAAACAATTGGCAAGTGTTCATTGTGCTCACTCTAAGTGGCAATAATTGAACAAGCAGCTGAGAACAAGTACAGCTCAGAGTGACTTGTACCTTCACCTACAAAACTCTAAAAAACTTACTAAGTATGTAGATATGCCAATATTCTGATTTGCATCTATGGTTCACTCTCTGTACTCCTGAGCTAAAGAGATAGTTAAATAGATCCATGACTTCTCAAGACACTATACTGAATCTTTAAAAAGGAAAACAGTAATCTCTGAGTATTGGTTATCTAGAGTTAAATGTGCTGAGCAACTACAACAGAAATCAATGATCACTTAAAGTAACCCTATTCCTTATAAAGCTTTCCCTTAGCACTTTAGCTTAGCAAAAGCCAAAAGGATATCTGAAGCATACATTTTTCCTCCTCTAAGAAGTGAAACAGTAGGACAGCAAAGAATAATAAACTAGCTGCCCATAAATTGAGAATAAACTATAGTTTACTGCATTATAGAACTGCAAAATTTTTCCATGATTTTTTCTGATCTATATAGTGCAATAGCATTCCCCTTAGTACTTATGAAATCCCAAATCTGCTAGAAATAGGTTATCTCTTGGTTCAATTTATGAAGTCTCTACGGACAGAGCAGTTTTGTCAGCAGAATAGTCTGAAAACCATACAGTGGCGTGGGAAATCCTTGCACAACTGCTCATTCTTTACTGAACTCTAGTCATAATGAGTGCAATTTCCTTCAAATACCCTTGTTTAAAATAACATGGATCATTTGTAAGCCAAATAGAGCTGAGAAGGTATTGAAAAAGTTGCCTTTAAATACATTTCCCTTGGTTAAGAACCGTTAGACAGAAAAGACTGCATGTTATTTTCAATTTGACAATGCATACTACTGGTATCTCATATGAAAATAGCTAAGAAGTACACATTTTCACTACAAAGGAAATCACTAAGCTCTTGAAAGAAAAAACGTAAGTATTCAGTGCTGTAAAGACAACAGTTGCTTTGTGATAGCATGACAACTAATCACATGATAAAACCTAAGACAGGCACCAATTGAATTTACTTTTAAACTCTAACCCATATTAGGACATGTTCGTGCTGTATGGTGCTAAAAAGCACTGGAGACTCAAGACATGAGTCCAAGCCCCTCAGACAGTGCCTTCTTTACACACTCTTCATGTGGATAAAAAGCTCTCCTGTTTCTCTGAGGCACTGATTTTATCTGTTTGTAAGATGTACATGTTGTCCTGACACAAACCCATGTAGGCACCTCAAATATCCGTGACACAGTTGCTCACACTAGCTGAAGTCAATGCTCTCCAACAACAGTACAGACTTTATGATTGTTGTATAGAAACACCTTTAGTTTTACCGATCTCTTTTGCTCTAAAGAGATCTAAAGATTTTTTTTGCTCTAAAGAGATCTAAAGATTTTGCTCTAAAGAGATCTAAAGATTCTTAGGTCAACTTGTCAGCAATTTGTTACCAAGATAGACAAGGAAAGAAAAGAACACCTTTGATATTAAGAACATAATTTGTTATTTATGTGGAGTTTTATACAGTATGATAGACCAAATGGGATATTTTCAATGAGCAACTCCAAAGGTTGAGAAGACTGCCACAGAGCAGATTGCACAGACTTCACAGTTCTGGTTAGCAGGAACCAGTCTAGTGTGAGAAGCATCTTAAACAGCTGAAGATGCACTTTGATAACTGGGGATTAAAGGACTACAAAGCCATGTCCCTTTTTTAATTGTTTCTTAAGCCATGGCTCTTTGCCAAGCCTTGTGAAGAAACAGCTGATTTCCAATTACTCTGATAGGATTTGCCTTATGACAGGAGTGAAACAGACCTCCATGTTTAGTCTTTTGACTACTATAGACTATCATTTTTGGGGGGAAGGGGTAATAAAATTGACCAAACCAGGTAATTTATTTATCTTGCACTGCTGCTTATTGCAAACTGAAGTTCTGGTTAGCACCTAATACTACATTCACTCCCAGGAAAGAGCTAGGATAGCAGTGGGGAGTCAAGGGCAAACTCACCATCTGCTAACTCAAAGCAAACACAACACCGTCTTTGTGGGAAACATACTTCCCACATCTTAACCAAACATTTCCCGCATCTGTAATTATCTAAATTGCAATTTTGCCAAATAGCAGCTAATTAAGCAGCAAGCTAAGCACAAAGGACATAGAAAATCACACAAATATGTTCAACTGTGTCCTTAGTTCAGCCCCTACCCCATAAACAGGGGCTGTGACCAAGCATACCACATGAGGAGTCTTACCAGGTTTGGTGAGAGCAGAGACTGGAAATGAAGGAGAAGACCAGCACTGGCTATCTGTTCCAACCACCTTCTGCTGGCCTCCACGGTCTCCATTTCATATTCTTTGTTGTTGTCAAACATCTGATTTAAGGCCACCATTAGCTGCTCTGAAAATGCGCAGACTGTGGCCACTAGGCTCTGACAGAAGACCATGTCTCGCCTCAGCTGTATCTCGCTATCTGTGATGGGCAAAAGCCAGAGGAGGAAAAGCAATAATGGAATAGGAGATGAATTAACAGTAAAGGAGCCGGGCTGGAAATTTTTTCTTTGTTTTAATGCCATGTAAATTACGAGTTTACAGCCTAACATTATTTCTAGTAAATATTACTCCATGACCAAAACTCATTTTCCACATTAAAATATTACTTAATAATTATCAAATTATATGTAAATGTATTTAAAATCTGGAATTTAAAGCATTTCTTCATAAACAATGTACATTTATCTTGTAGATTATAATGTACATGCCATCGATTCTATGTACTTTTGATGTCACAAGGGGACAGATCTGAGCCACATCTCTGCTGTAAAGTGAGAACAAGCTGGGCACAAAAACCTTTACTTTCCACCAGAAAGCAAGGATAGTCAGAAGATCTGAACACGACTGCATCATCTGGTCAACTCCACACCTACCAGCTGGGCAGGGCAGATGAAGACTGTCTGCTGTAAAGCACAGAGTGTTGCTACCAGAACACAATCTATCCAAATACAATATACACTAATATGAATCTATAAAATAAGCACAGAACAGCATCACATATCCAGGAAGCAGCAGAGATTTACGGTGTCAGGAAAGTCCAGGACGGGTCCCTAGGTAGATGTCTATGGAACATTAGCAGCTGATTTAAATTAGGGACTAGCTAACCTACCAATTTATTCTGGAGGGCACAGTCATTAGATTAGTTAAAGGTCAAAAGAGTTAGAAAGGGAAACATATTCTGAATAAAGCACAAAACTGTGGTAATCAATATTCAGTGCTTCCTTCTTCTCTTTTCTGAAGGTCTTCAAGTAATGTTATCATTATGAGCTGTTAGACAAACATCAATCATAATGGTACAGGTAGACTTAATCTTTCTCAGAGCAAGAGAAGTAGATCAGGTGATATCAAGGTCTTTACAAAGCCTAAAATATTTGTCCTCGCATCTAGATTCCTCTACCTCTAGGAGGCTTAGCTTCTTTTCCACCTTCTCTATGGAGCTGACATGAATTTAGATGACTGGATAAGTCAGCAAAAATAATTCTGTTACTACTGACTTTAAAAATATGCTTTCATTGCACTCAAGTATTTCTCAAAGTAACCTCATTCTGTCTGTTTTCCTTCGGAAATCTTCTTCAAGTCTTTTCCTCAACTATTGATAATGGTGAACACTCTTTTACTATCATTTATGTTCCATTTGCCAGTTTCTCAGGATCTCAGGAATGTTTTCCATAAATGGTTAAATCACTACTGTGTCTGCACTGACTCATTGCTTTTTGTTTTGATTATTCAAATTAACCTCTCCAATCTCGCAAGTTGTGCAAATCCAATACAGACATAATTTTTACCTTAAAAAACTCCACCCACCTCTAGCTTTAAAAATCCTACTGGCTTCTCCATAGTCAGAAACTTTCCAATGTCATAGGAGTGCTCAGGGATTTGAGCTCAACACATATTCTGTCTCCTTGCATTACTCAATTTTATCTCTGTTTGTCTAACAGCAGCTGACTTTCGGTGCCTTCCTCTGTACTGCCTGCTCCTGAAGCAGCCCTCTCATGTCTCCAACACCTCATTTCCAAACCTCATTAATACTACTTGAACATTAGATACTGCATACAAGAACACTTGGGGCTCTTTTCACGAAAATATTTTTATACGAAAAACCCTATAGAATTTACCAACTTATGAAACCATATACACAGGAGAAACTGCTTTTAAAAAATCAAGTCGAGGGTATTTACTCAGGACACTTCTTATTTTAGAATACCTGAGGAATTAGTAAAAACTTTTCTAACATTTAGAAGAAATATGACAACAAACACATTCTCCTTTACAAAACTGATGAAATAATCATGGAATAATAAAGCATTCATCTAGTGTTGCAAGATGGATGAAATAATCAGCTTTCACAGGTAAACTGCCTACTTGAACACTTACACACCTACAAACTGTAGAGAAACTTGTTAAGTATCATTTCCTAAATACTGATTCACTGACATTTATTTTGCAGACACATGTGCCTCTTTTGTGTATCTGAGGCTGTATGTTGTGTGGGGTGAAGGCAGAATTAACACACAGAATAAACAGAGCCTTTCCAAAAAAGGATGGACTTAGATATTCTCTGAAAAAAAGAGAAAAGGTATGGGTTAAAATAGTAAGGTAAGTCTGGAAACAGGTCAGAATGAAAAGAAAAAACAGCAAATAGGAAAAAGCCCAAAAGAAGAAAGACAGGACAAGCACAGTGATTTAGTAGTTACTTCATCTGCCAAGATCCAGAGCAAATGACCAGATAAGGCATTTTGCATTAAGAATTTTAAAAAAAATAAAAAATGTGCAATGTTGGTCAAAAATGTCCAGAATTGCGTTCTTCATGAATCCTTACTGTAAACACAGGGATAAAGTTGTTGATTATTATGTTTTATCATATCTGAGATTTTCCCCTTTCTCTAAACACAGTATTCTGTCCAAAGGCAAAAAAAAAAAAATCTCAAACCATCCACATTCACTTCCCCCTTCCCAAAACAAGCAAAATTACCTGTATACTCAAGAAGTGCCAAGAGTATTCGTGCCTTCACCTCTTAAAGAGAAAAAAAAAGAAAGAAGAAAATATTTTGAGGTCATGGTTAAAAGTATTCTCATCAGCATAATAATGCATTTGCAGTTTCTCGGTTTATGCCAACTTAACTCCAATTTCTTGTGCAGGCAGTCCTGATTTCTAACTACAAACCAGTAATGAGTCTCAACTTCACTGAATTGTACATATGACTTAATAAAATTGGTAATAATCAAAAGCACCAACACTGAGAAAGACACATGAAGACGTAGCTGCTATCTCAGAGCATGTGTACCAGTTAGCCAGCGCAAGTCCATACATGAGGAATTCAAGTCTTAAAACTTTGAAAAACAAGACCAGTTTTTATTGATTCCCACATTACCCTAATTCCTTCTTCTCCCTCTCTTGTGCTCTTTTGTTCCATACTTTAAAATCGCCAATTATCCTTATTTTAATGTATATCAAAGCATCTAGGAAAAATAAAACAGCATTTTCACAGAATCATAGAATTTAAGGGTTGGAATGGACCTGACAGATCATCTAGTCCCAACCCCCCTGCCCTAGGCAGGGACACCTCCTCACTAGATTAGGTTGCACAACGCTTCATCCAGCCTGGTCTTGAACATTGCCAGGGTCAGGGCAGCCACCACGTCCCTGGGCAACCTGTTCCAGTGTCTCACCATCCCTAAGGATGTAAAAAACAAAAGTAAAAAACTTTTGTCTAATATCTAACCTAAACTTCCTCCCCTTCAGTTTGAATCCAGTACCCCTTGTCCTATCATTGCAGTTCCTAACAAAGAGTCCCTCTCCAGCTCCCTTGTAGGCCCTTCAGACATGGAAAAGTTGCTATGATGTCTCCACACAGTCTTCTCTTCCCCAGGCTGAACAGCCCCAACTTCCTCAGCCTGTCCTCATAGGGGAGATGCTCCAGTCCTCTTATTAACTTCGTGCCCTCCTCTGGACTTGCTCCAACAGTTCCATGTCCTTCTTACGCTGAGAACACCAGAACTGCACTCAGTATTCCAGGTGGGGTCTCACAAGAGCAGAGTAGAGGGGAAGAATCACCTCTTTTGACCTGTTGGCCACACTCCTTTTGATGCAGCCCAGGATTCAACCAGCTTTCTGGGCTGCTAGTGAACACTGCCAGCTCATGGTGAGCTTCTCATCCACTGTCACTTCCAAGTCTTTCTCCTCACTGCTGGTTTTAACTGCTTTCACTTTATTCCCAGCCTTCAGGGTTTTCTTTTGCTTCAAATTTTTTTTTTACTTAACAATATATGAAGTAAAAACATACAAAATAAAAAGTCTTAATTTACACTGACAACAATTTGGGTTTATATTTCTTTACACTTCCTGCTCCCCCTTTCCTTTTTTCTTGGGGGTGGTACTTCTCAAAGTTTGCAGGCTGAAGGAAGCGATTCTTCCTCTTTATGTACCAGTGTTTAGGTATGTGTTAACCACCACTGTAAATGTGTTCACCACCACTGCAAAAAACAGGCAGGTTAAAAAGCTGCCACAAGCTTAGAGAGTGTCAAACTTCCTGCAAATCAGTTGTCTTACAGATACTACCTGCAGGAACACAACGCCACTTTGCATGCTTTCACATCATTCCAAACTTTCTTTCACACACCCAATTTTCTCTGCAGTTCTATTCCAAGCCGTGCTCAGCTGACCAGCAGTTGTCATTGGGCATATGGACAATAAGATAATTTGGTAATGTGTTGCCCCCTACTAAAACTAACCTAATAGGTTTGAAATTTGAATGCATGAGAGACATCAGAATTGAAATTGGAGTTGACAGTATCAACAGAACAGTCTGGACTCTGTGTGCACTTGACTGCAAATATGAAAAGCCAAAATCTTCCCCAAAGGTGACAAAGATTGGAAAAGAAGAAAACCTTTCAAGCCTGGTCTTTATCCGTGCTGTACACACATTGTGAAAAGAACTGGCAGTGCCTATGCTTCAGAAGTCTGTGCCCAGTATCTCAAATACACGCACTGAAACGCTTCAAATTACTGGTTATTCTTGAAAATTGCCTGGTGATAGGTCTTTGCATTAGCCTTCTGTCTTTTGACAAAACATTTAACAGAGATTAATAGCCTGACATCTTGTAGTCCAAACATAGCTTAGTAACTGAAAAATATATTATAGGGAAATATAGCTTTTACCTGAATAATATAGATACATTGAGGCTATTACTTGCAGCTTGTTTTATATAAGATTTCATGGATCTTTGAATTCAAATGTATTTGAGGTATCTATAAATAATGATTTCCGGCATATGGGAAAATTACAGGACACAGCAACCTCCCTTTATCACTGCTGTAAGTCTTCTGTGTTTCAAAATATAACCATGGACAAAAGAGTATTTTTAGGTTATTTGTATAAACAGAGACTTTCCTGGGGTTAGAAGTGAACCTTCAACAAATACCGAATTCTATGGAAGTTCACTCCTTCTTGCTACATGGCATATGGAAAGGAGTAACTCCCAAGCAATTTTTCTTTAGATTATGGTTTGTAATGCAAAATGCCTTCAGCGCCTTTTATTCTTACACATTCTTTTGTACTTTATTAAAAAATCTCATAATTTTTAAAATTGTTCTCCCAATTCCAATACTAACAAAAAGAAAATTGACCGATCTGAGCAATCATTCTCAAGGCATTCTGAGTTTTCCCATTTTTCATACTTATTAAAGAAAGTAAATGAAAAGAATCCTAAAATCTAGGACTTAAAAAAATCTCATCTTTGTGGGGCTCCCATGTCTCCTTCTGCTTTAAAGCACTAATCAATTTAATAGATTCTTTAATGCCACAGAAAAATGAATAAAAATTATGATAGCCTGTGATTTTTATAAAGAGAAAAATGATTATGTTTTCAATACAGAGATGCATTTATTGAAAGCATTCATCCTTACTTTAGCGTTGATCAATAATGGTTAAGTATGTTTATAACAACTGGAAGTTTTAATTACAACGATTTTTTTCTCCATGGTGAATGAAGTTCTATCTGTGGTCTCTTTTGACTACTTCCTCTTAAACCTGCTAGAAGAGACAAATATATGTGCTTACCTCAATTATTGAAATACTGCCTTTTAGTCATAAACAGGAAGATTCTTCTAAAATCCCAAGACATTGTTCAACTTGTTCTCATAAGCCCAACTAAACTGTCAAATTAGGTGGCTTCTTTTGTTTTTTTTCTGAATGAGTCGAATAAGAGGGGAAATGGGGAGACGACTCTCTGTACTATGTGTTAGCTTTTCAGCCAGAAATAGCTCAGGGTAGTACTAATGGTACTAAGGTATCCTGACCATCTGTGAACACGGTGTATGATGGCAAGACTGGAAAGGAGGAAACAAGAAATGAAGATATGAAGGAAAAACTTAGCTGTTAAAAACATTTTTAACCCTGCTCTGTGCTCATCTGATTTCAGTTAAATCCAGCTGCTAGTTGTGTCTCAAGTTTAATTTACATAAGCCTAAAACTGTCTAAGTCATAGCAGTCTCCCAAAACTGCCTGAGGGGCATAGTTCTGCCCTGATTCTTTTCAACACTGAATTACATATACCTGTCCAAACATGCCTTGGTAACTAAGGCTTGAGAAGCAGTTATTCACTTCCATTCCCCTATTTCTTCTTCATGCTATTTGTGTCAGGGAAACCACAAGTGCCTAGGCTTTCAGGTATCCATTACATCACATCAGCTTCATGGTCACATATTCAAATCAAATCTATGATGAAGACGTGAATCATGATTCCTCGGAGTATTTCTCAGGAACAAGTATTACTGATCCCAGTTTGGGAGGTGGTGGTGGTGGAATAGGAATCAACTTAAAGGAAAAACAACAACTATAAGAGAATAGAAAGATGTAAAGACTGATGGTGAATAAACGATCTAAGATGATAATTTTACATGCAAACCTATGTATTTGGGTAAGAAGATGGGACAGAAGCCACTTGCTGTGAATCTTTGACAAAAGCTCAGATGTCATGGACAGAAAGGGAGAGACAAGAATGTTTAAAATTGGCAGATAACTTCTGATACACAATTATGACAGAAGGTAAGGCAGAGCATGTGCTCTTCTCGAACACCGCAAGAAAAATGTCTTTTACTATTTAGCTGTTTGTACCGCGCACCATTCACAAGCATGACAGCTGCAATACAGTTAGTTACTATAATTTATTAACAGAGAAAACCATCTTTACCCTTAGTTTCTAAAACACTAGAAAATGCCAAGTTTTATTGTGCTGTAAACATCAAGACTCTCCTGATAAATATCACCATTACATTGCAGTAATATAGTAAAAGAATATTTTTTTTATTATAAAGAGGCAGTCATTTGGACCTTGCTGAACTCTGCCAAAAACTCTGTTGTAGATTCAACCCTAAATTTATCTGAATAATCTCAGCTCAATGATGAAAGTTATTGAAGGACCAATGTTAAAATGGGTTAGGTCTATTAATCCTATTTATGGGCAAACAAGTTATGTGAAAATGGTCTGTTAATCTTAGCTTCAGAAGGAGGGCAATGAAGGACTGAAGACACATTTCCATTCCTCCTGAACTGTGAAAGAAACCACGATTAATACTCGAATATAATTTGGTTTAGGCTGAATATTGAAAAAAAAAAGATTCAAAAATACTTATTCATTTATCACTCAGTGACAGCCACCATTAAAGTAAATAGAAGCAGTCTTAGTATTGGAGAGTCAACACACTGCGATTGACTTCAAAACCAGGAGATATTTTTGTGGTTGTTTTTATAGTTTTCAAACCCAAGGCTTGAAAATATGATTATATCTGATACCAGAAACAGTAAAAGTCAGAGGAGGATGAGTTTGGTTTTTGAAAGTTTATATTAATAAAAGTTATCACAAAGTTTTTTCCAGTGACCTAAAATTTAGGTGTTTTCTTATGAGACACCATGGAAATTAGCCAACAAAACAGAGTAAGAAAACACAAATAATCTAAAGCTATACCTGACAAGTTTTTGTTCCCAAATAGCCTCCTCGTGCAAGCATTTTTATAAAAATAATTTTGCCCATTATTTCTGTTTCTTTACCAAACAGCACAGGAAATAAAGCAGAAACTACAGGCAAGATATTCTGGAGAGGAAATCCAAGCTACTTTCTCATGAAGATAGAGGAGAAAGCAGAAAAACTCAGCTCACATTGTCACTTGGTGATGAAAAGGAGCAGTGTGCTTGGTAACTTCCAGACAGTGGTGGAAGGGAGGCAGAGAAGAAGGAGCGATAGCATCAGTTGAGAGGGATTAAGTGAAATCCATGGCTTTATGGCAGAAGCAGGAGAATGATTTTAGAGGGATAAAGATTCCAGATCAATGACAGATATGACCAAGATATAGGACAAAAGTTGCCCTGCAGTCTTCATCTTTCAATTTAAGACAGTAGAAAAAAGAGTCTAATTTTCAGAAAAGCCTCATTTTGGTCTATCAGCCCCCTGAAGTTCTGTGACAAATGAGTCAAGCTCATTGGACTTCAGCAGCAACTGAAATAACCTATCACAGGCAACATATGGTTCCTTTGTTTTCACTTGTCAAAAGACTATTTTCTCTTCAGTATCCGAAGCCAAGAGGGTAAGCATGAGACAGTTGAGATATACTCCACTAACCTTGTTACTAAGAACACAAAAAAGTCCTGAAATTCAGGCCTTTCCCATAGACTACACTGTGTTCAGCAAGCCTTGCCTAGCAGCAACATGAAGCAGTTGTCTCCCTCCCCTTCTCTTTTCTCCTTTGCATCATTAATGAAGTATTTATTTATGGTCATGTTCTTCTTACTAACCTTCAACAAATTTTCTGATATTCTGGGCAAGACTCCGGACGCTGCTGGGGAGGTTCCAAGGGTCTTGCTTGATGTGGAGCCGTAGCCTTCTTGGACAGTTAAGCTTCGGTTCCATTTCCTG